GAGTAAAATTTTTCTACCAAGATTCTAGGATGTTTTACATACTCATGCTTTCACAATAATATCACAACAAACCAATAAACACATAAGTAATCACCACCTGGGGTGTTTGACAAAATCATTAACTGGTATAAAACTGAAAGAAAGTAATACTTAGATCCAGATAGTTTTACTAACCTTGAAAAATTAAATCTCATAATCAAGGAAAGACCATCCAGTCCTTAAAAAGGTAGAAAATGAGAGAGGGAGCGCAGCCCAAAATATTCTTAAATACTGAATCCCTTAACAAAGCAGAAACTAAGTGTATCTCATTTCCATACCATGACCCAGAAAGCTGTCTTCTCAAAGCCCATATTGGCATGTGGTTTAATTTAAAAACCTGGGCTTCTGGAGGTGGAGGTTGCGGTGAGCCAAGATTGCGCCACTGCACTCCAGCCTGGGCAACAACAGCGAAACTCAGTCTCAAAAAAAAAAAAAAAGAAAAAAAACCTGGGCTTTGAAATTCAGAGTACCAGCCTGTGTTTTGGTAACTATGTAATCCTGAGCAAATCCCTTAAACAATTTCAAGCCACATTTTACTCTCTAAGATATAAGGATAGTATCAACTACCTCAATGGAGTTGTTGTGATTAATAAGAATGTAATTAAAGTGCTTAGGAAGGACAGCTTCCATATCAACTTAATATGTTCCAAACTAAAAATGGCTAGACTATCCACATAGATTAAATCAAGTTAAATTTCCCTAGCCCACAGGGAATTTTTTTTTTTTTTCTTTTAATAGAGACAGGTGCCCTGTTGCCCAGACTAGAGTTCAGTGGTGTGACTTGGCTCAATGCAGTCTCAACCTCCTGGGCTCAAGCAATCCTCCCACCTCAAACTCCCTGGTAGCTGAGACTACAGGTGGACACCACTGTGACTGACTAATTTTTGTATTTTTTGTAGGGACAGGGTTTCACCATTTTGCCCAGGCTGGTCTCGAACTTCTGAGCTCAAGGGATCCACCCATGTTGGGGGCTTCCTAAAGTGCTGGGATTATAGATGTGAGCCACCACACCCAGCACAGAATTTTTTTTTTTGGAGACAGGGTCTCAGTCTGTCACCTAGGCTGGAGTGCAGTGGCGCGAGCTCAGCTCACTGCAACTTCTGCCTCACGGGTTCAAGCGATCCTCCTGCCTCAGCCTCCTGAGTTGTTGGGACTATAGGCGTGTACCACCACACCTGTCTAATTTTTGAATTTTTAGTAGAGACAGGGTTTCACCATCTTGGCCAGGCTCCACAGGATAATTTTTAACAGACATCCCACTGAAATATTTCATGGAGAATCATATTCTGTTATTAATACTAGTTTCAACTGACCTTTTTATTTGAAATCAATGGTTATCAACTGCAACAGATTTAATACTCTTTTAATAAGAAATGTTTTGATATCCATAGTATCATACTATAAGGAAACTCTACACACCAATCTATAACCAATCTATGCACATATTTTGGGGGGAAAATATAAGGCCCTTCGTGTAATAAAGGAAAAGGCAGTCAAAAGAAAACACGTACTTTAGGTTATAAATACTCAGGTATGACTATATATTATAAGATATAACAAAGTAGCACCTAGATCCAAATCTGTGAACCTAGAGCCTTTCCGCTACCCCAGGGCTTAAGGATGCCCGGCAAGTGCCTGGGATAGACACCAAAGTAGTACCACAGCCATACTACTGGACACACTTTGCTCTCCTTCTCAGTTTGGTCTGTACATTGTACTTGAACCCAGTTTTGGTTTTTTGTTGTTTTACATCCTCAACAGTTGTCAGAACACAACATATGGCTTCTGAAACATTCAACAAAGAACAGCAAAAAAATGTCAACATAACCTGTTTCCAGGATTATTTCCTACTATTGTATTCTCCTTCCCTGCTCCATACATGCCATGTCCCAGACTAATAGTTCTCAAGCCTGGTTTTAAAGCAGAATCATCTAGGGAACGTTTTAAGAATACTGACCATGGGCCCCATTCCTAAAGGTTTTGTCTCAGGTGGTTCGGGGCGGCCAGATTTGGCATCACACAAATTTTTAAAGCTCTTTAGGTGGCTCTACTATACAGCAAAAGTACCTACTATATATCCTGCCAATGCTCATCCTGCATGGAGAGGTCCCTGTGCCACTAATCGCTCAGCCTGTTTCCTTTGCCTAAAACACCCTAGGGAGCTGTGAAGACTAAAGTCAGGGAGTGATGTGAAGACTTTACAATCCAACAGTTTTGGGGTTTAAATCCCAGTTCCAGTATTTCTTAGCCCCCCTGACCCCAGAAAATTCTCAGACTCAGTTTCTTTATATATAAAAAGTGATTAGGCCAGGTGCAGTGGCTAATACCTGTAATTGTAACACCTTGGGAGGCCGAGATGGGGGGACTGCTAGAGTCCAGAAGTTGAAGACCAGCCTAGGAAACACAGTAAGACCCCAACTCTATAAAAATTTTAAAACTTAGCCAGGTATGGTGCCGTGCACCTGTAGTACCAGCTGAGGTGGATCAACTGAGCCAGGAGGTCAAGGCTGCAATGAGCCATGATTGAGCCACTGCACTCTAGCCTAGGTGACAGGACATGACCCTCAAAAAAAAAAAAAGTGATTAACGGTCCCCTGCTCACACAGTTAATGTATGAACTCAGTGAGATAATTAATGCAAAGTGTTCTGCTTTCAGGGCTGGCATGAGAGTTCAATTAAGTACTGGCATTCATAATAAATCCCCTATTTAGAAAAACGACTCTTATACCAATATGAAGAATGGACTCAAATGGGTGAAGGTGGAGGCAATGTGGAAGTATTGGGTGTATAAAATCAAACTACGGAAGAAGGCAAAAAATTGCAAGAAGAGAACAGAATGAATGAAAGTTATTACAGAAAAAAAAATAACAAGGACCCAACAAAATATATTGGATACAGAATATGAGAGTAGGAAAAATCTTAAATAGCTCTGTTTTGAGCCAGTGTAGCTAGGAAAAGTACTGCCATGAGAAATAGGTGACACTTGAAGAGGAGCAGATATGGAAGAAATGAGGAAATCATTTTTAGAAGTGTCTCTGAGGAAATACCATAGGATATTCCTCTGAATATGCCCAGCAGGTAGCTGAACAAATGAAACTAGAGCTTAGGAATGAAATGAAGCTGTGCCACCTTGTTCAAAATCTGTGCATTCTAAAATCCTCCTTCCTGACCACTAACTTCTCTCCTCCACCACTACCCACTCACACTGAATCTCCTTACTCAATCTCTAGAGGTCTTAGGTAAGAATTCTCAAACTGGCAGCCCCCCAACGCATTGTTTCACCCAAAGAAATGTTTCAAAAATTTTCTGAATTAGTTGTCAACATTTAAAAATTGTAAGAGTTCACATAAATTTCAACTTCCAGCTCCTCCTGAAAAATTGGAAATATCTGAGGAAAAAGTGAGCCCATGGTCCCACATGGAAACAATAAGCTGAAGACGAATAGCAGCTGGCATTATTAGGGAAGGAGTATGGCTGGTCTCTGGAGACTTCTGAGTGTGGTACCTCCTAGGACCTTTTGTTTCTTCCTTTGATCTTCATAGTCCATGAGTCATATCCCAGCCTCACCTCCCTACCCCAGTCCAGACACGTGTATTTTAATCATATAAACATTTAAGGACTATTGTGCACCAGGCACGGAGCTAGAGAAACAAAGTTGAAAAGAATGCACCCTCTGCCCTCTGTCTACTCTGTCAGCCTCATATCCAGCCACACTAGCATATTCTCAATTCCATAAGCCACATGTGCTTTCCGTGCTTACCAGAGCTTTGCACATGCTGTTCCTTCTGCCCCTACAACTAAGCCAACCCCCTTCTCCTAATCATCCTTCAAGTCTCAAATGACGTTTCCTCATAGAGGCCTTCCCAGACTCCCCATTAGGTAGCGTACAATCATCCCCTCTCACATGTTCCATGGCTCTTTCTCCCTTCTTGTACTTTCTCCATGTCTATCTCTAAGACCAGACTTCATTTTGTTCACCAATTAATTTCCAGTATCTAGCACAGCCAGACAAGTACTTCCATAAAACTTTCCATATGTGTCCTAGACACGTGTTGTTCCAACATGGCTCATTTTGCCAGCTTCCCCCTCTTCACTTCCTCCACTCTTGCTTCCACGGTAGAATTGGACAGGCTATTGGGCACTCTCTTCTTAAATTTAAAACAGTTTTAAGCTGGAGGTGAGTGGATCAAATTCACGATGTTAAAAGTGTGCGCTGACTGCAGAATGGAGAAAAAAGCTGGATGCGAAGAGTCCAGTTAGATTACTTCAGTACACCACTACGCCAGTTCTAGAACAACCTGGGATTCTACACATCTAACTGCGGTGTTCTGGTACCACATTTCATGGCACTTTCCACGCCTTCACTGAACACATAGCGGCAAACTACTGCGAAACCTCCGGACCCAGCTGCCCTCCACGAGACGCGTTCGGTGATATGCACTCCTCCCCACTGCGAGACCCCGAGACCCCAAACTCCCTCGGACTCTCCCAGTTGGGTCTAGGGCCACACTCGGCGCACCCAAGCCCGCCCTACCCGAGGTCCCACACGGGCCGTTCCGGGGTCAATGGTTCTTTGGAGAACCAAGAGGACCAAGGCAAGAGGGTAATTCAATAGGGGAGGACAGTTAAGAGGGAGCGAAAGGAAGAAGAAATCATGAAATGCAATGCCCGGCCAGGGAACTCCGAACAAGGAACAGGGAACAACGTTTACCAAAGCGGATCCTGGAACACTCCCACTACAGCTGCCCTCAGCTCTTCAACTACCGGCTTAAATGAGCCACGCCTCTTACGCGACAAAGAAAACGCACTATTCCTGCGACCAGCTGGGGAAACACCCCGCTACCAGACCAGCCAATCAGCTCAGTGAAGCCTTCGATTCAGACAGTCACGCTCCGAGCGGCCAATGAAATTGAAAGCTCTGCCCTCCATGCCCAACTCTGATTGGCTTACAATCCCGGAACAGGCGTTAACCCAAGGAAGGCAGTGGCAAGATGGCGTCCCTGGATCGGGTGAAGGTACTGGTGTTGGGAGACTCAGGTGAGCGTCTTACCCCACCTCTGGGGCTCCAGACACTTTTGAGTTACCCAGTAACCCTCCCCTTACCTTCCTTCCCTCAACTCCCTGGCTCTTCGGCCCGTGGCTGAAGTCCCTCCGAAGTCCTGAAGACTACACTTCCCAGGGGACTTTGCTCCGTGTGACGACGCGGCGGCGGCGGCGTCGCGCGGGTGGGGGTCGCGGAGCCCGGGTCTTTTTTCTTCGCGGCTTTCCACATCAGTCTCCCAGAAGACTGCAGCCTAGAGTGTATTGTCAGTTATTTTATTTGGAAAAAAAAAAAAAAAGGCAGGCATTGAGTATTGTATGGAGTTCTGTGTTAAGGGTACAGAAGTTAGTAGGACCGTGCCTTCAAGAGATTCTGTTCATTAAGGAAGTCAAACGTGCACTGACAAACGTGAACTGGCAAGCGCTTCTCATACATTAACTCATTTAATTCTGAGATTAGTCCTATGATCACATTTTACGGATGAGAGTAGTGAGGCAGAGAGATGTGAGTGGCAGAATCCTTTTGAACGCAGAGTCCACAAACTTAAACGCTAAGTTATAAATACGCAGTGACATATTGGGTGGTGGTCCTGTTTTATTCTTAACTGAGCTTCTTGACTTCCTGGTTCTCGTTTGATCTTCATTGAAAACCTATTATGTCCTAGACTGTACGATAGAGAAATTAAAGTAAGAGTTTTATTCTGAAGCAGCTAGGATTTAACGCTGAGCCGAATTTAATCCTAGTGTTAAAATTTTTTTTTTTTTTTATCTCAATGGATGCAAAGAAAAATTATTTTGACCCCTGGGACATTTGAGAACTACAGCTGACTTCTGGATTTCCAGCTCCCACCTCACTGCCCTTATCTTTTCTTCCATAATCCCCAGTTCATCTCTCCTTAGTAACTTCAATAAATGCTGAACTTGCATTTTATAGATGTGCTCTTCTGGAGTTGGCCTAAGAGCGTGTGTTGTGAGCAGAGACATTGTGCTAGATGCTTGGAGGTGGAGAGGCTTGAAAACTAGCTTAACAGAAACTAAATAAAATTGTGGCCGGCAAAGATAGGTTAAGACTGTTTTCACATTGCCCTGAGTATTATTTGCATTACGAAATATTTTACAGAGAGCATTATTTAATATTCCCCTAAGAAAGTTGCCTTTTGAAACTCAATGGACATAATCACAATTTATGTCGACTTCATTTCTATCAGGTAGCTTGAAGTGGTGCCAAAGTTAATTTAATAAAATCACTCAGTTTTACAGATAAAGAAAGTAATGGTGGCCTAAAGGGACTTAGCAAGAGTATCACTGAGTAGAATTTAGAATCCAGAACTAACAGACTTCTTCACGATATGTTAAGTGAGTGTTTTCTGTCCTCTATAATTCCATTTTCTGTTGTATGTAACAATCCCTTCATATTGCAAACTGCTGCAACTAGTCAATTTATTTTCTTTCCAGCAGGCACTGTATTAGGTTCTGGGGTTATAACTGTGGAATTAATGCATCATATAACAGGGGTAGAATTAGCTGCTACATTAAATGTGGAAAAGTAATCAGGCAATTGATAAGCTTCCCTACCCCCACCCCCCACCCTTATGGTTTAGTTGTGAAGCAGAAGACACAGCTGTGATGGCCAGGAAAGTGATTGATATTGTCACACATTCACTAATGTTAACCTTTATGTGCAGATGTTGTCACACATTCACTAATGTTAACCTTTATGTGCAAAGTTAGTTATTGTCTTTTTATCTTTTTAAAAGGCAATTTTGTCAGTCTCATTTTAACTGTCATTTAATAGTACACAGTCTGACAGGTTAGAATACACTTTTTACACTTCCTCTGCCTTTGTTTCAAACCTGAAAGTTTATTTTTAAATAAAGACCATTTCCTTCATAAAATTTTGAGGGTTTCACAAATATATAAAGAAATGACTTAGCCAGACAAGGTGGCCCTTGCCTATAATCCCAGCACTTGGGGAGTTTGAGTCGAGTGGATTGCTTGAGCTTAGTTCAAGACCAGCCTGGGCAACATGGCAAGACCCTCTCTAAACCAAAAACAATACAGAAAGTTAGCCAGGCGTGGTGGTGCACGCCTGTAGTCCCAGCTACTCAGGAGGCTGAGGTGAGAAAATCAGTTGAGCCCGGAAATTTGAGGCTGCAGTGAGCTAGGATCGTGCCACTACGCTCTAGTCTGGATAATAGAGTGAGACCCTATCTCAAAGATAAAAATAAAAAGAAGAAAGAAATGAGTTGATATTTGGAGATTTGTTTTCTATCCTATTGAGATATTTGGTAATTTGGTGAAGAACCCTGAAAGTCTCACTACCATCTGGTTTTCTCTTTCTTTCAGAGATTGGGGACTAGTTTAACATGTTACCAAATAGCTGTATTTGGAGCTGACATTTATTTATATTGGGACTTTTTTCCCCCCAAGTACGTCAAGTGCATTCTTTTGATCCAATTTAGTTCTAAAGGTGAACACATAGAGTCAGAAGCTCCCAAAATTCTTAAAGAAATGAAATTAGCCATTATTCCCTAGCACTTCAACTGTTCTTACTGTTTAGGGTTTCATCCCGTGTTAGCTAATACTTAATCACCCAAAGCAGTTAATTCATGGAGAGCTATACGATTTTACTGCCTAGAAATGTTTACCCTAACACAATTAAGCTAAACTAGGCCTCAAGTGTTGCATCAAGCAATTAAGTGGCTAGATACATTCCTTGAACATAAACAAACCTATTTACAAATACAGAATCAATGGTATATCCTAAAAGTTACAGATATCAGATACAATGCAGTAAACTCAATGACAAATAAAATTTTGAGTGTTTAAAAATCTTGAATGTTTCTATGTAAAAAAATTAAAAGAATGAAGGGAAGCCTGGTAAAATGTTTGATTCAATTACACATACATAAAATGATTAATATATTTAATAGATAAAGAGCTCATATCAATTAATAACACTAAAACCCGGTAGATAAACGTACAGAACAGATCCACAGAGAATTTATGAGAGGAAAAACAACTGATTTGCCAGGATAATCATAATGATAATCTTTGATCTTTATCAGAAAGTAAAGAAATGCAGACTAAAGTAAGATGTCACTCCCCCCCGCCCCACTGAGATAGAGTGTTGTTCTGTCACCCAGCCTGGAGTGCAGTGGCCGACCTCAGCTCACTGCAGCCTCCACCTCCTGGGTTAAAGCAGTTCTCCTGCCTCAGCCTCCCAAGTTGCTGGGCTTACAGGTGCCCACCACCACGCCCGGCTAATTTTTGTATTTTTAGTAGAGACGGGCTTCACCATGTTGGCCAGGCTGATCTCGAGCTCCTGACCTCATGATCTGCCTGCCTCAGCCTCCCAAAGTGCTGGGATTACAGACGTGAGCCAAAGCGCCTGGCCAAGATGTCTCTTTTATTCCTTTATCAGGTTAACAAAGATGAAAAACCAACTACATGATACTGTTGAGGTGCAACAAGACCTGCAGGCTCAAGTGTATGGCTGATGGCAGCATAACCCCATGAAGTTATTTGTCAATACATATCTAGAACTTCAAATGTTTCCTTTTAAGTACTGAGTTTACTTCTGGGAAGGTATACTAAGGACATAATTTTAATTTTAAACAAAGGTTTAAACAGAAATAACCTTTCACTAGCATATCAAAAATTTCAAAACACCCTAAATATCTAATAATGGAAGAATGGTTAAGTAAATTTTTATGTCTACTCTTTGAAGTACTATGGAGATGCTTTAAATGTTTATGAAGATTTTGGAATAATATGGAAACTTTTAGTCAATAAATTCTAATTAAGGTTCTGATCTAAGTACTGAAGATAAAAAAGATGCATGAGAACCCTCAAGGAACTTAAAATTAAATAGAGTTGATAAAACCTATAAACAAACACATATGATAATGTATTTTAAGTGCTCTGTAGGAAAATGTACAGGGTACAGTGGAGGCCCAGAGGATAGTGGATGTTATGCTTAGTTCTCCCTGTGTTGGGTCAGAAAATACTTTATAACTAGAATGATGCTGAGTCTCCAAAGGTAAATTCACCAGGCCAATGTGGGAGGGGAGGGAAAGGAGAGGATGGGTAGGATATTCCAGACAGAACAAGCTATGGAAGCAGAGGCTTATGTTGTTTTATTGTTTTTAAGTATACTGTGTATATAATCACAATAACCACCTGCTCATAGAAAAACTTTTCATGTGGAATTAAATAAACCTTCATGTTGACAGTAGTCTTAAGGTGTTTTTTTTGTTTTTGTTTTTGTTTTTGTTTTTAAGAGAGACAGGGTCTCACTCTGTCACCCAGGCTGGAGTACATCAGTGTGATCATAGCTCACTGCAACCTCCAACTCCTGAGCTCAAGGGATCATCTGCCTCAGCCTGCTGAGTAGCTAGGACTACAGACGCAGGCCACCGTGCCTGGCTAATTTCTTTAATATTTGTTTTTTGTAGAGATGCAGTCTTGCTATGTTGCCCAGGCTGGTCGCAAACCCCTGGGCTCAAGTGATCCTCCTGCCTCAGCCTCCCAAAGCACTGGGAGTACAGATGTGAGCCACCGTGCCTGGCCTTCATTTGTACATACTTTCTAGGTTGTAAATGTAACTTTTAATAATAAAAATTAACATAAACAATAGGTTCATACACAGTAGGATCAAAGAGATGATCTAAATTTTTGATAAAACTAGTGATTTGTAAAAATACCAACCATGTTTGTCATAATGGAACCCCAAAAATGCTGTTAAATGAATGCGTGAGTGACTCCACACATGGATGTAGAGGAAGAGCTCATTCCCTTTCCTCTTGATACAAATCTCTGAATGCTATCCTTAGCATTAATAACTAGGTTTCCCTAAGCCCAAGAAATCGAAAAGAAGATCAAATGGTGACTTAAAGGGACATGATGTAGAAGAGGGAGTTGATCTTTTTTCCAAAAGCTAAGTCTGGGCTAAGTGATTGGCTGCTTTTTTTAAATCACCATGTGGGAGAACTGGAGTGTCTAAATTTAGAATTGTGAAATGGTGAATCCCTCTCACTGACAGTATTCAAGCTCAGTCTGGAAGACCGAAGACCCTCTAACAGGATGCCATGGAGGGGACCTCAGCGTTGGTGTGAAGGAGAGAGGGATTACTTCTAAGATCTGTTGAGATTCTACAATTCTAAAATAGGCTAAATTGATTAAATCATTCAAAAGGAAAGGGATTCATTAATATGAAATTGCCCTAGACCAGTGGTTCTCAAAGTGAGACCCCTGGACCAGTATCAGTATCACTTGGGAACTTGTTAGAAATCTTGGTCCCCAGGACAGACCCTCTAAATCAGAAAGTATGGGGGTGGAGCCCAGCATTCCATGTTTTAACCCACCCTCTGGGTGATTCTGATACTAAATTTGAGAGAACCACTGCCTTTACCATCTTCACTTTATTCAGTGAAGCTTATATTGTTGGTATGGCATTCTAACAACTATGCTTTACTTAACATTATTCCTGTGTAGTATTAGTCTTACTCTTTCCAAAACAGATTTCAGCATCGTCTCTTACATGACTAGAGTTCTTGTATCTCTTACAGGTGTTGGGAAATCTTCATTAGTCCATCTTCTATGCCAAAATCAAGTACTGGGAAATCCATCATGGACTGTGGGCTGCTCAGTGGATGTCAGAGTATGTGTCTTTTATATTTTAGTTTTTCAATAATTGTACTAAAGATAACTGCTTCTGGTTACATGATCAAATTACAGTACTATGGTCAAGATTAATAGCAATAGCTAGAATTTGTTACATTCATACTATGTGCCAGGTACTGTGCCAGTTGCTTTACATGTCTCTTCTTATTTCACCTTTTTAAAACTGAGATGTGTAGGTGCAGAAACTAAGGCAAAGTCAAGATTTGAACAGTTTGATGCCACAGACTTCAGTTTTAATCACTATGCTATTTATCTAGAGTTCACATAGCATCCTCTGTAAATAATTCTGTCTAAGCTTGTGCTATTAAGACGGCCAGCTTTCAGCTAGAAATATAATGCAAAGGCAAAAGCTCCTGGAGCTTCATGTCTGGGTCATTTGTTCCATCTTGTGTTTAGGAATTAGGTATAGTTTTAATTAAATTAAATATCTTCCCAGATATCATTGGTCCTTGCTAATGCCAGCTAGTTCTGACAAGTCTCTCATCTGCTGGCACACCTCTCTCCTTTATGTTAAGAAACATAGGGAAGGCAACGTAGTTGGCTAGATTGATAGTTATTTTCCTTCTGTTCTTTGAAACTATTGTTCCATAGCTCTGATTTACATTGCTGCTGATTAGAAATCTTCCATCAGCCTAATTATTATTCCTTTTTAAGGTAATTTCTTCTTTGGTTGCTTTTAAAATATTTTTTGTGTTTTTTTAATCTTTGATATTTCATTGTTTTGCTAACCTGTATCTAGGTGTAGGTTCGTTTTTATTCATCCTATTCAGTAGTAGTCATGGTTCTCATGTCTTTATTCTTCAGAATTTTAAGTCATTATCTGTCTTCCCTCATTTCTTCTATCCCTTCCTCTTGGCTTTCTATGAGATTTTTGTTCTTCATAACTATTAATATTTCTCCTTGCTGCCTTCTGGATGGTGTACTCATATCTGCCTTCCAGTTAACTAAGAATCTCTTCAATTATATCTAATCTGCTTTTTAATATATCTACACTGTTTTTCATCCCAAGTACCTATGCTTTTTAATTTCTAGATGTTCCTTTTAGTTCTTTTTAAAATGTAAAAATTTTCCAAAATGTCCTGATCCTTCATTATGGTGTCTGTTTTTTTATTTTAATCATTTCTAACATAGTTATTTTTTTTCTGGAGGAGAGGTAGCTATGCTTCTTGCTATATATGCTACTCTGCTTCATGGAAATGTATCTCCTTGTATGGCTTGTAATTCTTTAAGATGATCACATCTTCAACAGGATTTTTTTCCTCTCCCTTTGGAAGTGCTGTATGCTATATTGTGAAAGTATCCCTATACAGTGCCTTTTCATTTCTGTCATTGCCAAGACCCTAAGGATTTCAATTTCTCAGCTCAGATAATGTAAATCTAGGTAATGTAAATTCCCCCAGCATCTGATTGCAGCACAGACCTGTAGTTTCCATTTCTTGTGGACCATTTATCTTATCTCTACCTTCTGTCTGAGGCCCCTGACTGAAAGTTTTTGCCATTTCCCTGAGCCTGTGGACAATGTTTTTCCACCTCTCTTTTCATAGGGCAGCTCATCAAAGGTCCAGATTTCAAAAAGGCAACTACAGTCTAGTCTTCATCACTCATCCACATATACTTTTGCCTTGAACGCTGGAAAACAGGTCTGCTATTCCTGGATGGGCATTAAGACTCCAGGCACCAGCCCTGAAGCTATATCTGAATCTATGTCAGTTCCTCTGAACTTAAAAAACTTAAAATCATATGTCACTCTGATTTTAAGTTTTTTCTTCATTTCTAGCATTTGGGGATATTCCTTCCTTTCTCCTAACTTTCTCTTGAGCTAGTCTTCTCTGTCTCTCCTCTGTCTAGTCTTTCTGTCTCAAAATATTTTTATAGCATTTCTATAAGTTTGAAGTAGGAGCTGACCTATTTTGTGTCATTTTGGCCAACCATATTCCTAAATTCAGTGGCAACTTTATTTAGGTTTGGGAGACCCAATAGCAAGTTCTGAACAAATTTTCCCTTTGGATTTTTCTAGCTCCCATTCTGTGAAAGAGCATGACATATTGAAAAGAAACTTAGATTTAAACCCTCACTTCCTGAGTCAATTGCCCTTCACTTCTGAAAGAGTGACCTTAGACTAATCAGTTTACCTCTTTGAGGCATAGTTACATCATCTGGAAAACAGAGGTCAATAATATGTGCTTTATTGAGTCTACAGGTTTGTAGGAAGGATCAGAGAAGCTTAGTAAGAGGGAAGTTATGGTCTAGTGCTTTACAATGTTAAGTTGTAATTGAACTTTAGTCCAATTTTCTGCCCCTTCCCTGCCTTCTGCCCTACTCCTTTTTCCTATCCCCACCCAGCATGCATTCTATTCATGTTGTTCACCTCTTGTCTTGGTTTTCTTTCCTGCTTGTCTTACTGAATTAGCTAAAACTCCAGTACCATGTTGAATAGAAGTGGCACCAACAAGCATCTTTGTTTCATTCCCATCTCATGGGAAATTTTCAGTATAACACTATTTAGTAAAGTATTTGCTAGAGGGTTTTTTATAGGTATATTTGATTAAAGAAATGTCCTTCTATTCCTCTTACAATGAGAGTTTGTATCATGAATGGGTGTCGAATTTACCAGTCACCTCTTCATGATAATCATGATTTTCCTGATTTATTCCATTACTGTGGTAAATTATGTTGATTAATTTTTTTGAATGTTAAACCAACCTTGCAGTCCTGTAAAAACTCTAAATATGCTTCTTAATTTCCAAACATTTGATAATGTTTATTATCTTTTAATGATTGATTTCAGTTACCTTTCATTGTGCTTAGAGAATATACGCTGTATGCTTTCATCCTTTGAAGTTTGTTGAGATTTGCTCCATGTCCAATTTTATGGTCAATTTTGATAAAAATTTCATATTCTCTTGAAAACAAAGTATATTATGTAATCGTTGGGTGCAGTGTTCTAAATATGTGGTAATCATTTTTTAAATCTTCTCCATCTCTATTGGGTGGGGGTTTTTTTTGGTCTGTTTTTTCCATCAATTGCTAAGGAATGAGTAATATAATCTCCAACTATAAGTGTGAATTAGTCTGTTCCTCATTTTATTTCTGTCCATTTTTCATTTATATACTTTGAGATTATATTACTAGATGAGTACTAATTTATGATTGTTTGAACTTCCTAAAGGGTTTAACATTTTATTATTTTAATATGCGCCTCCCTATATCTGGTAATACATTGTACCTTGAAGACTATTTTGTCTGATATTAAAATAGTTAAAGCCAACTTATTTTTAGTTAGTGCTTGTGTGGTTTACCTTATTTACATATTTCAACTTTCATACTTTCTGTGTCCTAACATTTATGGGATATCTCTTATAAGTAAGATACACTAAATTTTGTTTTGATGACCAGTCTGACAGTCTTAGTATTTTTATTTGGTTCTTGAGCCTTGCCCCCAGATATTCTGACTCAGAGTTATGATTGGTGCCCAAGCATCTGCATTTTAAGAAGCATCTTGATGATTCTGTTGTAGGTGAATAATGCCTTGAGAAATACTGGGTAAGGTGTGGAATCAGATCGCCAAGTGGACATAGAAGTGTTTAATGACAGGACTTATAGAACAGAGGGACAAGACTAAGAATGAGATGCTAATAGGAAGCTAGTACATATTAACGATAAGACAAGGAGGGAAGGGAGTATAGCTGATGGTCCAGAGCATCTAAAGAAGACAGATTTTTAATATAAGAGTAGAGGAATAACACACTAGAAGTAGCTTTGGAGAGTAAGCAAGGCATTTCCTATTTTCTGAACTCCAAGGTAATTAGAATTTTGAAAAGTGAACAGCATCTATCTGAGAGGACATAAGAAGTTGTGTTTTCAAGGCAGAAGCAGAGATTTGTTAATAGAATGAGACTGAGGGTAGGATATAATGGAATTTTGTAACCGTGGAGTAAGATTCCAGGAGAAAAGTGGAAATATTTGGAAAAGAAAACAATTAGGAGTTTAATGATGGGTAGAGGAAGCAAAAGCAGTCTGGGAATAAGAATATGAGAGACCAATTAAGGACCCAATATATATAGTAACAGAGGATAACTGGGATATAAATATCTTGAGTATAGCTGGTGGCAAAGTTTCCAAAAGAAACTTTATCTCAGCAGTCCCCTGTATGTGAGAGTGGAGACTTGATTTTGTCTGCAAGGAATGCTTTTGTGCAAAGTCCCAGAGAGCAGGCCAACATGAGATTACTAGTTAGTTCTCAAGACGCTGACCAAGTTTTAGAAGTAATTCCCTTTAGAAACTTCTGCTTTGGGGCCGGGTGCGGTGGGTCACACCTGTAATCCCAGCACCTTGGGAGGCCAAAAGTCATTGGATCACATGAGGTCAGGAGTTCGAGACCAGCCTGGTCAACATGGTGAAATCTCATCTCTACTAAAGATACAAAAATTAGCTGGGCGTGCTGGCACATACCTGTAATCCTAGCTACTCGGGAGGCTGAGGCAGAAGAATCGCTTGAATCTAGGAGGCGGAGGTCGCAGTGAGCCGAGATCAGGCCACTGCACTTCAGCCTGGGCAACAGAGCAAGACTCTGTCTCAAAAACAAAACAAAAAGTCAAATGTCATATAATTATGTGACTGGGTTTACTGGAATGAGTGTGGCACTAATTGATTCCTTTAAAGACAGTCTTACCTGAATTGTATTATTGTGGAAGAATGGGACACAGCTGAAAATGACTTGCTTTACTGTTCATTGTATCTTAAGCCAGTTGACTTCTGTCTTTTTTTTTTTTTTTTTGAGATGGAGTTTTGTTCTTGTTGCCCAGGCTGGAGTGCAGTGGTGCAATCTCGGCTTACTACAACCTCCACCTCCCAGGTTCAAGCGATTCTCCTGCCTCAGCCTCCCAAGTAACTGGGATTACAGGCATGTGCCACCACGCCTGGCTAACTTTTTTTGTATTTTGAGTAGAGACAGTGTTTTACAATGTTAGCCAGGCT